AAAAAAAAAAATCCAGGGATTTGTGGTGGTCATGTGAAAAACCAAAAAGAATTTGGTTACAGGTTTGGAAAATGTCATAAGAAAGTTTTAAACCTGAAATGTTTTTATTGAATATAATGTCAGAGATCATTGATTAAAAAAATATATATAGTCTACTGTATATATATATACAGCAGCTAGGTTACTCTATCCCAAAAAATGGAAGAATGGAGAAATACCAATGATAGAGGAGCTACTAAAGAAGTTACTTGATATTGAAGAACTAGATATGCTTTGAGAGGCACTACATGATCAACTGAGACATTCTGTAAAGGAAAGCTGGAAGCTGATGTACAATTGTGTCCAGAAAGAGACAGCAACTTAGGGGAAGAAATACCAGTACTTACAAGAACCCATTGATGATATTAGATCAGCAGTCCCCAACCTTTTTGGGGCCGTGGACTGGCTGGGGGGAGCGAGTTCCATGGGGGGGTTGTCACGCTTGTGCTGGGGGCATGTCCCACGTGAGTGCAACATGCTCCCCATGAGGACGAGATGCCCCCCCGCACAAGTGTGACACACACCCCATATGCGTGCGGGGGGGGGGGAGATCCATATCCTCAGCCCAGTTCTGGCAAGCCCATGGACCAGCACCGGGTTGACGACCCCTGTATTAGATGACCTAGATGATGGCGAAATCTCTGATCTATATATGTAGTATGCATGTCTTTAGTTGTCTTTCATTGTTTTTGTTGTGTCCTATTCTGTTATTTTGTATGTTTGTTTGTTTGTATGTAATAATAGTAATAGTAATAGTAATAGTAATAGTAATAGTAATAGTAATAGTAATAGTAATAGTAATAGTAATAGTAATAGTAATAGTAATAGTAATAGTAATAGTAATAGTAATAGTAATAGTAATAGTAATAGTAATAGTAATAGTAATAGTAATAGTAATAGTAATAGTAATAGTAATAGTAAATAATTTTTTAAAATGTAGTTTAACATCTGGTGACCTATGCACTTCCCCAAAGTTCAGGTATACTTGAGAGTTCCAGTAGATTGCTTACTTGCTGTAGTACTGGAATCAGAGTATCAGTACAGCAGAGCTGTGAGTCAATCGTCCTAACAGATTTAAATAACATTAAAATGCAGGCTTTGCCTTTCTCTCTCTCTCTTTTCCTTTAACAGACTATTTGAAATGAAAATGAAACAATTCCCAATACATGATACTTGTTTGAACATATTGTGCACTTCTGCTAGCACTGAAATTTTTTAAAGTTTTGGAGGCACATAGTAGCTCCTTAAGAAAAGAACCTCACTGTTATTGGAACTGCTCCTATACTCTATAGTTACCTGCTGTATTATAATACCAATTAGCCATGTAAAATTAAACAGTGGTAGAAGATATCGTCAAACAGATGGTATTTGCTGGAGGAGGTGCAAATACCCTTCACTTTTCTAATGAGCTACCCAGAATGCCTATCTGGATTTTCACTTTTCAAAATTTCAAGACATACAGTGCGGTCTTGACTTGAGAACTTAATCCGTATTGAAAGGCAGTTCTCAAGTCAAAAAGTTCTCAGGT